AAAGGGGTCATGAACTGCCTTTTTTATTAATGTGATGTAGAATCGGTGGGCGGGGCTAAACTGGCAGTGATGTAGAAGCAGGAGTTGATCATCTTCTGCGGAGGCGGGGTTTAGCCACACTATAGAGCCTTTCGCACCGCTTTAGTTCCAGAACTAAATGTACAGTACTAAAGTACTGGGACGATGTCCATCTATCGCTGTTCTCCATACTTGCGAAATAAGTTGACACAATGTTTACAGTATGTTTACACGGCGTTTTAAATCATGGCGGGTGAGGGCGTTTTCGTTCGGCCAATCAATGTCTACTTGCGTCACGGCTAGTACCAGTTGTGCTGGTTAGACCCTGCTCCAGAGTAGGAACTAATTTGGGTCTCGAAAAAGGCAGTCCGGTACTAAAATCACACCCAGTTCCGGCGGTGCGAAAACGCCAAAAAGTGGGTAGTTCCACAACTAGTTCTGGTACTATGAAAAGGTTCCCGTGGTGCGAAAGGCCCATATTACATCATAAAGTGTCACATTCCACAACCTGTCGTTTTGGCAGATTGGCTTCAATATAAGCTGCTTTTAGATTAATGGGAAAGTTTTGAGTTCTGAAACTTACAGGATGTTTTTATAGAACAATGACCTCTTCTTATATGTCAAAAGATCAAGGGAATTTAAATTTCTCAGTTTGTGACCGCTTTAATTTCTCCCAAGTTTCCGAAACTCTTTCAGTCTGTATTTAAATACAATTTCCCTGTAAGTTTGAGTTAGAATAGTTTGCACGAGTGTGATTATGAACACGATTTATGTCGTAGAATAAAACATGAAAATATCTTGAGCTTGTGTTCACCACAGACCTCACAGAAACTCATTTTTAAAAACCCCATTGATTTCAGGACGATGGAACCAGAATTGCTAAAATGCTTGTGTCCAGGTTTTGGCCTACAAAAAACACGTAGTCCGACCTCAAACCACTCACACCATTGGTTAATGTGTTGTTGCTAACATGGAAATTAACCTGTGAATTTTAACAAATTACACATTTAGTTGTTGTTCTGCTTTTGTTGGTTTTCCTATGTCTCTGACTGCTCATGCAAATCCATTTTTCATATCACGTCCACCCAAGAGATTAGCCATCTGCAATATAGTGTTATATAACTGCCGTAATATCTCTCTTTGATCATAATACAGCGGTCAAAGGAAGCTTTGTTGGAATGTCAATCATCCATTGCTTGTAATTCGATTCTGTTTTGAGGAAATGTAGACAATTTAGATTCATTCATATGAATGTGAGACCAGCCACAGCGTTCACCTCCTATGTATGTATTTATAACCGCCGCAGGTGAGGATGTACTCCAGAGCCATGGCCATCATAGGAGGGTTTCTGGTGCTGGCCAGTGGAGCAGGAGAGGTTTACAGACAGAAACCTCGCACACGCTCACTGCAGTCCACCGGACAGGTCTTCTTGGGGATTTACTTGATATGTATGGTGAGTTTGTTCATTTCATCACTGCTAGTCTCACAGAAACAGATCAGACAGTGCTGTAGTTTGATCCCCACAGTTATGGAAAACCTAGGGATATTAGGGAATTTTAATATGGTGATTTGCAGGCCTGGAAAAGCTGTAGAAATAAATTAAACTTGTCAGTTGTAAAATATGTTATAAGATAAAAGTTGCTCTTTTAAATACTATATGTATGCATTTAACTAAGAATATATAAAATCATTGACATGGCTCACTAACTTCAATTAAAGGGTTAGTTCACCCAAAAATGAAATTCTGTCATTAATTACTCACCCTCGTGTTGTTCCAAACCCGTAAGACCTTCGTTCATCTTCGGAACACAATTTAAGATATTGTTGATGAAATATGAGGGCTCTCTGACCCTCCCATAGACAGCAAGGTAACTACCACGTTCAAGGTCCAGAAAAGTACCAAGATGATCGACAAAGTAGTCCGTGTGACATCAGTGGTTCAACTGTAAAGTTACGAAGCGAATCGTCATCACGCCGGATCTGGGTCAGCGTTGGCGCCGCCACACGCTTGTGTCATGATACTGTCGTGAACGCGCGTCCAAAGTGACGCAGTAGAGACGAAAATGCGGAATAAAGTTGTTATTTTTGTTTTCTTTGCAACAACACGAGGGTGAGTAATTAATGACAGAATTTTCATTTTTGGGTGAACTAACCCTTTAAACACTACTTTAATGTACAGTAAATTAAGCATTATTAATTCAATTAAAACGAATTAAACCTTAACTAATAAACTTATTTTGTAATTTTAATATCTTAATAGCTGCAGCTTGATATATGAAATAATAAATAAATTTGTTCAATTTTGATTGAGCGGTCACAAAATATATATATATAAAAAAGGTTTGCATATGTGATTTATGTTTTATCATATTTGATACATTAGGGTTTTATAATTTGTATAGTATGGTGTAGTGAGAATATGGAGGGGAAAACACCATTCAGAGGCCCAAAGTGAGCAAAAATATGCAATTTGGTGCAGATGTTGATATTTACATGGCCAGAAAGTTAGATAAAATTCTAATGCTTGCAACATAAATCAATGAGACCTTTATAACAGTATAGCAGACTACTTGCATAAAAATTATTTAAACATCAGTTGTCACTATATCTCTCAATAATGTGTCTAAGATGACATTTAATGCTTAGTTTTATGAGCAAAACATAACTGCAATGCAATAAAAAGATTGAGAGATGAACAAATAAACATTCCTCAAAAACATGCTTTTTCTAAAAAATGATGTATAGATAATTAAGTAAACTTAAGTTGCTTCAGTCCAGTAACTGTTCATCTTGAAATATTAGTAACAATATAAGTTATCCTTACATTTATTTCAGTAAAGATTTCACAGCAAAAAGACACGTGAAGCACGAGCTGAAGGTGGACGTTTGTACAATTACACTAAAATAACTTTTACTTGATTTAAAAAAAAAAAAGAAAAAAAAAGTCTGAACTATCAATCAGAAGACAGAAGGCATGGAAAAAAAAGTCTGAACTATCAATCAGACGACAGAAGGCATGGAGCAGATTGTGTGCAACAGGTTTCTCAGCAAAGTTTTGATCATTTAGAGGCCTTAGAAATGTGCATATTAAATATGAGACTGTAGACTTTATAAGGTTAACATCACTGACACTATTTCCCCTCCAGGTTTACTCACTACAGCACAGTAAGGAAGACCGGCTGGCCTACCTGGACCACATTCCTGGTGGTGAGATCACGGTCCAGCTCCTGGTGGTTGTGTTCGGGGTGTTAGCGCTCTCCTACCTCTCGGGCTGCTATGTGCGAGTGGCTTCCCAGATCCTGGCAGTTCTGTTACCTTTGGTTGTGCTGTTCATTGACGGCAACATAGGTTATTGGCACCGCACCTGCCACGTGGAGTTCTGGAACCAGATGAAGCTCATCGGGCAGAACCTCGGCATCTTCGGAGCGGTGCTTATTCTAGCCACAGACAGCTAAAGATACAGGGACATGAGCTCTGTACAGGCAGTGCTTAGGACAAGCATGTGTCTCATGGAAGCATTTGCTGAAGATAAAGAGAATAATGTGCTGAAACTGACAGTGCACTCAAAGGTATTGAGGATACAATTCCCAGCTTGCTCTGGAATCTGCAAGCACAAAGTCTTCAAAAGACTGTTTACGTTTCGTTTGTTTCCATTTTTAATGCATTATTTAAAAATTAAGAACGACTGAGACTTAAATGTTAAATTAAAGTTGAATGGTGAATTAAGGGTAGTTTGGAAACACATTATTGTCAGTTTTGATGTTCTTAAGCTGTATAGTAATGTGGGATTTCCCCCCCCCCCATGTTACTGACATTTAAAATGCCATTGCATTTTTTGCTGCTTGTATTTAATTTGCATTCCTTATACAACTTCTATAAAAGCATCACAATGTCAATTAAAAATGTTTTGTACGGAACCTACAAAATCTTTTGATTATTGCGTGGCATTTTTAGATGGATGGATGGATAGAAGAACGGACGGATGGATGGATGGACGTATGAACAGATGGATAGACGGTTGAATAGATGTATGTATGAACGGATAGATAGATATTGATAAAATATCATCACTCAAAGTGTACAAAACTTATACTAAAGCAATAGTTTAAAATCTAAGTTCTCTGAACGACTCGGCAAATAAATTGGTCAACAAGAAAATGATGGTTCAGAACACAATACTGCATTATTTACTAGAATCCACTTATGCATATTTAAAGTAACTGAATAAAATGACAGGCCGTCCCCAAAGGTCAGGTTGGTGCTCCCGGTATTGAGTTGCAAAAGGTAAACAAACCTTCTCTGTGGCTTTTCATGCGTCATTCAGCTTGAGATCACTACTGAACACTTGAGTACTGACACACAAACTCTAATTTCCTTTAGCAGGTTTTCTACAATTAGCAAGATCAAGGGATGACAGAGTTCACAAACAAGTAATGCAACATTGTTCAGAGCAAGGAAAATATCCATATTGAATTCATATTGATTAGAGTGCTGCAGTGAGGCTATATTTTTGTATAGGCCAACATGGTTCCCTCATCAAAAAATTTTTCCACTGGCTTTTAAATAAGCTCTTTTACAAACAAAATTTTACGATTCATGCACTTTTTGTTCTGCATGATAATCTTCAAAATGAACAACTTTCATCAATTTTGAAGCCCAAATACAATTGCCAGAAAGCTAAACCTGGTTATAAAGGAACTACACCACAGTCACATGACTTCAACATCCCACCGTTAAGCTTCTGACAACTTTTTCAGTCTGTATTAAAAAAAAAAAACATTTTCTGTAAAAGTTTGAGTTTGAATAGTTTGCAAGAGCACAATAATATAACAAGACAGATTTAAACACTTGTTAGCAACCGCCTTTTTCAAGACATGTAAAAGCATTAAGAAAATCACAAGGGGCTATTACTGATGTATTTTATGTTGTATAATAAAATGTAAAAAATATCTTGAGCTCGTGTTCATCACGGACTATTTCAGGCATTTAACCAAAAAAAAAAAAACGCATTCAGGACAAATGGAACCAGAAGTGCTGAAATGCTTGTTTTTAGGTTTTGACCTACATAAATGTATCATCCCTGCAGCACTCTTATATTTTGATGAAGAATGACCATTCATAATAAGACTAGGAACATGTATTGGGAAAGTAAATAGGTTCAGTTTTGATTTCACGTTGAAGTGAATATGGATATGTACTACATGCACAAAAATGAAGACCTGTTGTGTAAAATAAGACTGTATTGCTAACAGCTGCTGACTTTCTTCATTTGTGAGACTCCCAAGGCATAGGATCGTTTCCTTGTTTTTCCAGGTTCATTTTTTGCTTCTTGCGCTTGCGTTCTGCCATAACCAAGGCGCCCACCACAGTGACCATCACAGTTCCGGTAATGATCAGGACAGTGGCTGTTTCTGCGATACACAGCTGACTGTGCATCAAACCCAGAGATGCTCCAGCCACTAAGAGCGGAGAATGGCACGTGATATTCATGTAATCGTCCACGTGGAGATGCCTGACATGGAGTATCTTAGTGAAGACGCGATGAAGTTCACAGTCACACGTCCAGGGGTTCTCCGACATCTGCAGATGCGTGCTGGGCGTCTGAAGGTTTAGGAACGTCTTAAACTTCAGGCTTCTCAGCTGGTTGGCTTCTAAGTTCAGAATGCTGAGGGTTTGTAAGGGGGCCAGAGCTTCCGTTTCAATCTTGGAGATATTGTTGTGGTTCAAGTAAAGAACTCCAAGGCTTTGTTGCATGGTGAGCAGGCCTCCTTGGAGGACTGTCAATTGATTCCATGCAAGGTTAAGGTGCCTTAGCATGGTAAGTCCACGAAATGCCCCAACTTCGACAACCTGAATGTGGTTGTGACTGAGATCTAACCTCTCGAGACTTTCTAGGTCCTCCAAAGAGTGGGACTCAAGGCGTTCCAGAGCATTGTGGGAAAGCTTGAGATCTTTAAGAGTGGTCAACCCTTGACAGAAATCTGGAGGAATGACACGGAGCTCGTTGTAAGCCAGGTCCAACTTTTCCAGGAAGGTCAGAGAGGAAAGAGCCTGGAACAGAAACATGGCACGTTCAACTAATGATCCTGTAAAGCTGCAATTTAAAGACCAAAGATATAAGTAGAGGAATACATTTTGAATGGACAATTCACTTAATTCTATAATCGTTCAACACCCTCATATTGTTCCAAACTTGTGTGAGTTGCTTTCTTTTGTGGAACACATTAGATATTCTGAAGATGTTTCAAATGTTTTTGTCCATAAAATGAGGGTGCAATACAACATTAGACACTTTCATTGAGTGAGCAAAAACACTTAATATGCATTTTTCAAAATGTCTTCTTTTGTAGTCCACAGAAGAACCAGAGAATAACCATTTTGGGTTCCATTTTTTTTCTTAGTGTTTCCAATAGGAAGAACTTTTTGCAGAATGGAAAGATTCCACTCTTATTAATAAAAGGTTATTTATTTGGCATCAATGGCTCCATGCAGAACCTTAAACATCCACTGGAAAAAAGGTTCTTTATTGGGCATCTATAGAGTGCGTGCCTAATTATTATGCAAGTTGATATTCTGGTCATATTTTTTTTCCAAGCACATTTGACCAATTCCAAACCATATCAATCTAAATAACTACTATTCATTTTGTCTTTAATCATTTATAAATGATATATAATTGTCTGTGAATGATGGAAATGAAAAAAGCCTTATATTCAGGTGTGCATAATTATTAAGCAGGTTTTCTTTTACAGATAAAATGAGCCAAAAAGAGATTTAACTCAAACTGAAAAGTCAAAAATTATTAAATGGCAATGAGAAGGATGCAATACTAGAAATTGCAAAGTTAAGGCATGACCATAGTAGAGCGAAATACTCATTGGGTCAGCAAGGTTAGAAAAAAACTGGTGGAGAAGAAAAGACACATTAACTGCAAAAGAATTAAGGTGAAAGAATTAGGTGTGAAACCATCTCTTTTTGGCTCATTTTATCTGTAAAAGAAAACCTGCTTAATAATTATGCACACCTGAATATAAGGCGTTTTTCACTTCCATCCTTCATAGACAATTATATATCATTTATAAATGATTAAAGACTAAATGAATAGTAGTTATTTAGATTGATGTGATTTGGAATTGGTAAAATGTGCTTGGATATAAAATGATCAGAATAACAACTTGCATAGTAATTATGCACGCACTGTAGTTCCATGAAGAACCTTTAACATCCATGGAAACTTTCTACTCACTCTTTAGTAAATAGTGAATCTTTTTAGAACTGTTCACTAAAAATTTCTTTAGGGAACCCCAAATGGTTCTTTTATGGCATCACAGAGGGAAAAAAAACCCTGTTGGAACCTTTATTTTAAAAAGTGTATAGTGGGAAGTTTCTTTAGATTATCAAAAAGTTCTTCACACTAAGAAAAAAAATGGTTCTTTTAATAGCTGTTGACTGAAAGGTTCTTTGAGGAACCAAAAATATTTATTCTATTGTATTGTTGTGAAAACCCCATATTGGGGAAACCCCACCTTTCTTTTTAAGAGCGTAGAAGAACCATTTTGGGTTCCCCAAAAACCTTTCAGTAACCAGTAATCTCAAGAACCATTTTCCATATATATAAAATAAACTTTTGTGCAATTCAAAGATTCCATGGATAAGGCTTGTTCATGGAGCCACTGATGCCAATAAAGAATCTTCACTTTTAAGAGTGTAGATGGGAAAATACATTTGCAAAGACAAGCAAAACTGAACGCACCTTAGAATGCACCACCTGCATGTTGCTTTGTGAAAGCAGAAGGACCCGGAGAGCCCATATCCCAGTAAAGGAGGTACTCCTCAACTCCGACAACTTATTCCCACTGAGATCCAGGAGCCATGTGCCATGTGGAATACTGTGGGGAATGTGAGTGAACCCTCGGGATCGACAGTCCACCAGCTCAGATGCGTCGTAACAAGAACACTGATGAGGGCAGAGCTTTGAGCTCCCCACGATGAGGAAAGTGATGGGTAAAAATACGATGCAGAGCATCTTCAACACAGCTCAAAGAGTCTCCATTCAAAAAAAGAAAGAAATGGTTGTAGACGTTCTAGATTAACAAGCACACTGGTCTTGTTCGTCCTCAGTGCAGAACCCTCAAGTTGAGCTGAAAAGAAGTAGAGTCAACTGGTATATTTGGTGCATTTATGATGCCTTTTCAAACAGCTTGCAGTCTGAGATCTACAAGGATTTGTGGCTTGGCATGAGAAATCAAATTATATAAAGAGCTCCAAATCCTTTAATCCGTTTATAATTTCACACAGTCAGAATAAGAGTTATTCGCTTTTATGTTGGTCAACTTTCTTCCTGGACAGATGTGCATAGATCAAATTTCTGTGAAGGCATTCATTCGTGCTTATAGCAATATAGAAATTACAGCTCTAATTGTACTTACCACAAGTCGGTCTTGACGAATATGGAGTCACTGGTTGAGCAGAAACAAGCCTTAGTCATATTTCCTTAACAAATTCCATCAGATTTCTACCCTAACTTGAAAACTGAACAATATTACATTGTGTATGGTGTACACCTGCACCCTTCGTTCTTGCTTCACCATTTAAAAAGAAACCCGAAGCTAACACTTTAAATTCTGCACCTGGATGGAGAGCATCTCACATGCAACCCTGCTTTGAAGTCTCTGAGGTCGACTTCAATTTATCAAAGCACACTGCATCACTCAAGAAACAAGAGTACTTGGTACATACTGAATAATTCATTGAACGGTCCATCAATTTAGAAGCAGGACGTGTAGTCTTACACTTAAGCATATGCGCTCCTCTAAAGATCTCAATAGAAACCTCAAGGAGCGTCTTACACCATGTTAAATCTTTGACGTGTACTACATTGTGGTTTTAGAGATGGAAACCGGTTCCAGCGGTGTGAATGGAACAATGTGTATTACTTACAGTAATAATCCAACCTTTATCCTTAATTATTCAAGATCAAGACCTTTTCACACCGCCATAATAGGGTCAAGGGAAGTCAAAACCCTTCATAATTCACATAGCAGTGATAAATAATTCATTGAAACTCTGTTTGTGTAATTAACCCAAAGGCTGTCAGCAGTCTGTAGCTAAAGATATTTTAGATATGTGACTAGTAAACCATATTTTAATTACACAGGCACCTAGAATTACATTTCCTTTCTGATTTCTAAAAATACTCCAGGAAGAAACATGCCACTAGAGAATAAATGCTTGCTTTTGGCATAGAATAGTAGGCCTGAATATAATCTACACGGTCTACTAAATAAAAAGTTTAAAATATTATGGGAAACAAAACCTGTGTTTTTCCAGGCTTTATGAAGGTAAATTTAAGCCTTTTTAAAACCAAAGCAAATTTAAGGAATAAATGGAACACAAGGAACACACAATTTGTATTAGTAACGCTTCAAAGTTTTAAAACACAACCACTAAAAGATCTCCATTATTTTTAAATTCATTCTCAAAAAAATTTATATATCGAAGATATGATCTCTTAAGTAAATATATCTTGATTTAAGGATGTTTACTAAAGAAGCCATTTATTCTTTGCAGAGCATGCAACATGTAATGCCATGACTTTAATTTAAGACTGTTCTGATTTAAGACCTTTTTAAGGCCTTAATTTGTGTAAGAGCGAACGTGCTCATGATGCATGTTTAACTTAGCAAATTTTACTTTTGGCTCATATATCACATTTGAGATGCAATGACAAGAGTATTGCATTGTGGTATACTGGTTTGAAGAATGTAGAAGGTTATCCAGCTATTCCATGTACGGCTTACAGAACAGATGCATACCAATGTTGTTAATCTAAGGAACTCCCCATAGGAGCATTGTTGCAAAACAAACCAAACGTTATTTGATTAGAACCCGTAAAACAGTGTTTCAGCATTTAAACCAAAAATTTTTTTACCCCTTTTGCAAGCATAGTGTGTTCAAAGTTTCTGAAAAGCAACTGAAAGTACAGTATTACAGTCAGAATTTTTGTTACTTTTATTTTAGAAAATGTCCTTTGTAACCTGTGGCATCTGAAGTCACATTTTGTTTAAAATACAGAACAGACAGACAATTGTAGAACATAATCAGCCAAAAGAAAGAAAAAAGCATAAAAAGTAAAAGCTAACAAGCTTTTCTGACTGGTTTGATTTTTTTGACAAAATGGAATAGAAGGCGAAGGAGGGATGTAAGAGAGAAGAAAATATGAAAAGCTATTTCAGATGAAACACAGGAGGAGGAAGAAGGGGCAAAGAGGGGATAAGACACTGTAAGTTAGTCAAAGAAACTATGGTTTGTTTGATGGTTGGTGTTTTAAATTATCTTTATAAAGTCTAATTTAGAATGAACTCTTTTCACTCTCACGTTTTTTTCTTAAAACATTTTTGCTTTTTTTTTTGCCTTTTAAAATTTCTTTTGTTGATCTTCCAGACCCTAGGCCCTTGGTGCATCCACCCTCGGACTACACCGCAGAGGGGGAGAAGAGCGCTGGTTTCGACCAGCTGTTAGGCCCTTGATGCCCATGGTGCTCTCCCCAGATGAGCCATACCCCCACCCCCACCCCCCCCTCAGGAGGATAAAGACGAGTCCTTCTGTGTTTGCTGTGCTTGTGTACGCTGCATCGACTTCTGGCTTTCCACATCTCTAAAATGTTTCTCAACCTGAAAAGAAAGAGACAAGCAAGTCATAGTAAGTGATCAATATGAGAGCTGAATACAAGGAATCACCATCAGGCACTTATCCATCGATTTACTGTACTAACAGCCTATTCAGAGACAGAATTAAACTGATACATGCTTTCTAATGCAAAACAGCATAAATATATGTTTACAGGGCACTTGGAAGGAATAAGGAAAAATCTAATTCAATTTCAATTGATATTTATTTTAAAATTTACCAATCAACACTCAAATAAAAACTTTGTTGTATACAAACATTTCAACTGCACATAAGGCGGCTTTGATATCAACTTTTTAATTATATAATTCAGTTTGTGCTCCAATGTGTTGAAATTTTCCAATTTGTCAATTTTTCATGACAGATTTATTCAAACGGAGATTAAATATGACTCCACCAACAGGTTAAGTAAAATATAAAAGGAATACGTAAAATAGTGCATATATGAATGTATAGTAGGGTTGGGCCGATAGACGATGCCATCGTCCATCGCCGATGGCTGACAGACATCACTATGTTAAGCTGACATCGTGATTCCTTCGCCCCCCCCACCACCACCCCCTCTCCCACAATCTGCCGCATCCCAGTTCCGTGTTCGGAAAGGAAGTATACTACGGAAACCCTAAAGGGAATAAATAGCCTACGAGATGGGTGGATAAAAAAAAAAATATTTCAATTCTTTTTCTCGCAATTATATCATTGGGTAAGTATAGGCGACTGTATATAAATTGCGGGCATCAGGGAGCCGCTATTGAAACCGCTTTCGATTGCGCGCTCTCATTTTACTTTCACTTTCAATTTTGAGATTCGCGATCACAAGGACTCTATACTATGGAGCGGCAGAACTTACTACACATTTGACAAGATTAGATGTTTGTCATTGGTGCTCAGGATCTGCAAATCATTCGCCATCATCCTATCAGACATTTCTCCTTACTCTGTGTATGTGGTAAGTGAACTTTTATGTACTGTAATGCAACAGGGTACCGCGAGCAAGCGGCTAACCTTTTAGTGTCTCCATAGAACGCGTTATTTGTTTCACGCTTCGGGCACACCCCTAACCCCACCCCGCCCCCCGATGTCATCGTCCATCACGATGTTTCACTGTAGACATCGTCCGATGCCAATTTGGTAGACATCGCCCAACCCTAATGTATAGTACATAGGGCTGCAACAAAATTATTTTGATACTCGATTAATCTATTGATTATTGGAACGATTAATCAACTAACCGTTGATTAATCAGTAGGCTTTGATCGAACAATTATTACTATTGTACAATTGCAATTATTATACAATTATTTTTTACAATACAAATAAATATATTTGGCATACAAAATGAGAAGACAGGCAGAGCGACACTCTAAATTCAGCATGTAATTAGCCGTATGATAAAGTAACTGATTCATCATTCTGCCCAAGATCTCCTTTTAAAAGTCATATGGACATTGAACAAAATAAACATAAGTGATGACATTTTATGGATAAATTATTCACAACATTAGCTCTCTTAAAACACCTTATAGCAGTGGTTCCCAAACTGGGGGGCGCGGCAAGGCTGAGGGATAGTGTATAGTCAGCAGATTATTTTGCAAAAGAAACCTCTGCAGGGTGATAAAGACCACACGGTGTAATTTTCCCACTTATCATGCTTGCCTGATAAGTAAATAATTGAACGCAAAATATTAATTTGACATTTTAATTACCTCATCATGTCTCACAGTACCCGCTTGAGCGCTCCGTTATCAGTTGTAGAAGTTGTGGTTGAATCAGTAACAGACCACTAGACGGCGCGATTGAAGAATCATAGTTGTATTGCAGGGAGCCATGTAGAAATATAAACGAACGATGCATGGTTCTGCTCTAAGCATGTAAGTTACAAGTTTGTGAAAATACTGCCAGTGCCAGGTACATAAAGCAGATGATGAATACACAAGATTCACAAATACCAAAACAACGAGTACACGAGCAGTGCGACGTGACAAAAGTAAACAGAACCCAGTGACACGACAAATCCATGACAGTAAACTGATGCCCCGTTCTATTTCTAACGAACTCCAGCTCTCTGACAGAAAGGACAATTGGATTAGCAATGTTCACTTTGTCGCATCCAGTGTGGTGAAAAGACAAGAAAATATGACTAGGCATATCTCGCCCTCAGATTCACCAGTACAAAGGTGGGCAATGCATTTTATTGCACTTTTCCAACTAGAAAATACTTGTGCAGGGAAACATCTGACACGGAAATGCCAATTTCACAGTGATGAGAGTGTTTGATGTCACAAAAAAGCACTTGTAGATCAAATGGCGGCACTGCATCATATTATTTGTTGTCTACAATTTAGTTGTTAGGAGACTTGATTAACAATTGCCATTTTATGTCTTTTAAGCATCGACCAATGGAATGACTTTACTGTCAGGAGTCCGAGATACATTTGAAATATATTGCATTTTGAGAGATAACTTAAAAATGACTGCTACCTTTTGTTTTAATATTGTCCATCTTGTAAAACCTATGGATGCCACTGGAGGA